CATATATATATATTAAATAATTACCCCCGCCCCATTCCTAAACGGGGGGAAAAATTCCCCCTGCCCCAACCCCCTCCCCAACCCCCCGCGGGGCGGCTGCATGCCCCCATTGCCATCCCTAAACCTAACAAACATAAAGGAGCAATCAATAAAACTAAAAATTTAGTTTATAAATCCTGTACTCTTTTGGAAAAATAAAATCATACGCCGTTTGGTTGCTAAGTTTTTATTTTGCATATACAAAATGATAGAAGTGGTTCGGAATGTGCATCGGGAAAATATTCTAAAAGAATATTCTACCAATTTTTGCAAATTTGATTTTGTGCACGCCCTCAAAATAAAAATCAGATTTTGCATGTTGTTCCAAAAGTGAAAATGAAAAGAAACACAATTATTACCTGATAGGGCAACCATTTCCCTCGGAGTAAAACCCTTGTTTGAAAATAGGGTAATAAGTCTATCAAGCTGGTGAAAAGGAGCAGGAAGATCACTGTCTGCTAGGGAACGACTGGCAGTGGTAGAATCTCTTCTTCCAAGCTTTACAGTCCACGAAGGACCACCCACCTGATATTTTGTCAATCGTAAGTATTAAGGGTGAAGGAAATGATGAACCACAATCTAATGTTTATTTTTTTTCATAGTGTAATTATCCAATAATCTCATCTCATTTATCTTGTTCTACTTTCTATTGTCAAAGTTCCCATAAATTATGTTTTTTAAGTTGGAGAAAAACTGAAGGGTGTTCTGGTTTACTTATTTTACATGATCTTACATTCTGATTTTTAAATCCAGTTTTTTTTTAATGTTCTCAGTTGTTTTTTTTTTTTTGCCTAAATTTTAGATTTTTTAAGAGGGAAAAAGCTACAATTTGCATTCTACCAAAAAGTAGATTTTACCATTTCGGATTAGTTAATTGTTTGCAAAATCTGCAAACGATGGAGAACAACTGCTCATTAGCTTTTATAGCAAAACCATTATAGCTTTAGTTTCACTACGAATTTTCCTGCCTTTATTTGTGCTTCTCCATGTAAAATCTTTGAGAATAAATAATTTTTCATAATGCACAGAAATCTCCATATACTGCTAAAGATTAAAGTGAATAATCCACTCTTATGCATGTTATTTTGGTTTCCCTTTGTGTTCTAAGACTTCAAAAAAATGGTTAAATACTTAAATTTTTACTTACAGCAGCGGATGAATCTCTTGCAGCAACTGCAAGAATATCTGCACAAGAAACAACTCCTGGACATATTTTCTCCACTGCGGTCTTAGCATCCTCTATAACATTGAAACCTCTTGCAGAATCATTATTCGCCTTTGATGTCTTCTCACTTTGAATTGTAGGGGTCTCATCAAGCAAAACTGATCCATCACAACCCTGTAAAAGGGCAGAACCAATTTTGATTAAGCACACACAACCAGAGCTAGCAATGATTAACTATAAGGATTAGATCTAGTTATCCTTTAATATAATTTGAATTTGAGTAGACCAATTTTGTTTTTGCATTCTTCATAATGGTTTTATTCTGCCTTAGACCTGGTCAAGTATACAATACTTATTGTGCAGTATGCACCATGTGTAAGAGGGCTTCCACCTTTCTGAACAGTTAAAAGACGTACCCATGCCCATGTAAACATTGGCGGCCACCGAAAACAGTACAAGTTGAATAGTGGAGTATACAAGCTTTAGAAGGTTTTGGGTGCAAATCAGTAACAACAAAATAGACTTGTTTCAAATTTTGAGAGGTGAGAAAACAAAAATTATTGTATTTATCATTATTCAAGCGTGCCCATCATGTGTTAATAAGAAATGCTGGCATTCGGACCCGTCCTAAAAAATTCGACCCAAAGGAAAGAGAACTTTAAAGTGCCTGGGCGGATCTGAATTCCAACAGTGCCCTATGAGTAGCTAGGCAGCATTATGAAGCGTACAAGTTGAAATGGACTTACAAAGTTAGATAAAGGATGAAATTTATTTTTAGTGCATGAAATGTATTGCTTGCACTAACAAATCCCAAACCTAAACTCACCAAGCAAGTTAAGTTGATGTATGAGTAAACTGTACTACATGAAATGTTGTGTAACTTAAATCATTTTTTTGAGAAATAACCGTGTAAACTAACCTGCACGAAGCAATCATGGAAATGGAGGCGAATCAACGACGCGGCCATCCTCCGTTCACACGATATCGCTGACCGGATAGTGGAACGGATTGTAGTGAGAGCATTCGGGCAAGTATAATCATAAAATGTAGGTGAAAGTTGTGCTTTACAACCAAAGCTCGAAAGAAGAAGCAGTAGAGATAGTGCAGAAATTGCACCAAAAAGTTTGTTCACAGCCATCACCAGTTTCAAGAATCTTGAAGAAAATTACACCTTGCAAAATTTTTAAGAGAAGAGGAAAAAGTGTTTTTCTTTTTTTCTTTTCCAAGTATGGATGATTCATAGAGCTTAGAGAGTCACTCAATTTATATAGTTGCATTATGGCACTGTGTAGTGTGGAAATGTAACGCATTGATACATCACAGCGTAACATGTAAGAAGCTGACTTGTTCTTTTTGGTTTTGAAGATTCTTCAACGCAAGGCTTCTCACTTTTCAACGCACGGCTTTATAGACCAATTCTCTTATTGTATCATAGATGGATTGATAGATTAATTTGAAATCAACTGTAAGAAACGAAGTAGGTATTGCTATGATTTCCATGTAACGCATCAATATATCACAGCGTAACGACTATGTATGTTTGTGAATGTCGTTTTAGTAGTTGGAATCAATTTTTTTGGTACGCACACGGCATTGAAGTGTATAGATAATTCTTGATTTTACAAGTCACACAATCATTAAAGTTCCACAAGTATGCTTTTCAATTTAAAGAGATTCTGAAGTCTTAGAATAGAAATGGGTGAGAGAATTATAAGCTCTGTTTGAATCAGAAATTTATGCAAAATTTTCTCAGGAAATATAATCAACTTTTTTTTGGTCATCATTCCTAATTAGATGCATTACATTTCAAAAAGTATTATTCTTCTATTTTCATAAATTTACTTTCAAAAACACCTTCCAAACGGAGTCATAATTTCAGGATAAAACATTTAAAAGCAAAAACATTGCGCACTAAAATTAAAGAAAGAATTGTTGTTGTTGCTGCTGCTGCTGCTATTACTATTGTTATTATTATTATTATTATTATTATTATTTATTATTATTATTATTAATTGCTGTACAAACTATTTCAAAGACAGAAACGTAGGCATGTGTCATTAAAAGCTTTGATAACTTGGCTCCAGTTAATTTAAGTAACTAGATGTTATTCTTGATTGTACTCAATGCCAACTCAAGAAATGTTGGTTCTGCAAGTCTTATAAAAATTAAGCTTCGACAAGCATGTTGCACAGTTTAAATAGATTTTTAAGGCTCGCAGAATAAATGGGTGACCGACTTGAGCATGGTTGGATTATAATCATTTAGATAGAGACTCGTACCAAATCCTACATAGGATGACTTTGTCAAAAAAAAAAAGAAGAAGAAGAAGATTATAACTTATATCTTTGAGAAATTAAATCCAAACACTATTTAAGTATATTGAGGCTGGATTTGATTTGATTAAGATTCGATCCATTCATATACCTACATGCACGCATGCTAACCACGCAGCAGGCTGTCAGAGTAGTGAAATTCAAGTCAAAGAATTGCCAAAACAATTGACATTAACATGAATTGGGAGCAATTCCTAGGTTCTGATAAAACGTTCAAATTCATGTTGCGAAGAAATTCCTAGGTTCTGATGAGACGTTCAACTTCAACCAAAATACCACCAAATAATGGTCTAACTTAATTTCCTGTTTATCCAATTAGCCTTTTACAAGCAAATTCTATTCTTAAATTTCTCTGGCGGCCTGTGTGCTAAAAATTTAATAAATTTCAAAACGGAAGTGTTAATGAAAGTCCACTATTTTGTTAATATCACTCTTGATATTTTGATCATGTGAATTACACCCAAAAAAAAAATCGTTCATTGAATTTACATGTTGCACCCTTTTTTTTTTGGAAAAAATTGTAATTAAAATGAAAAGCAGAAGCATTTTATTCGTTCAACATGAGCAAATGACAACATTAACAAATAGGAAAGCGGTATCAACATTTCGCTTTTTATGATCTCAATATTACTTTGAACAACTTCTCGAACTAGGTCATTCGAGCACGATGTTCTTGACATCCTTCTATATGCCATCATCCATATTTAGGTTTTCATATCAATTGCTACCTTCCCTACTAACATCATTACACCATTCATAAAAATCACAAGATTTTTGTCACCAAGAGAATGGAGTATCCTTCAATTGGCACCATTTGCGTGTGTTTAAGTGGGTAAATGTGCCAAGGGTTCAAGAATGGAGAGACTTGAGGAGAATAGGTGTCTTTCGGTTGTAGGGCTTTTAGATAGTATTAATATCACTTACACCAAAAAAGTGTGTAGTAATTTTACTTTTCCCCATTGAATCCAAACAATTGGCACCTTGACCATCAATGTATTTTAAACAGTAAAGGACAACAGTTAGGTCCTAAGAATGATTGAAAGTTAATATTCATTGTAATTTCACAATTAAAACTCATAAAAATAATTAAATAAAGGTTATTTGAATACAATCTAATATGATAAAATAAATATAACTAAAATAATCAAGTTTTCACTTTTGATAGAAATATAATCACTAAATTATTATTGTATTTTTTTAGAAAAAAGTGTTATTGTATTAAGTGTAGTTAGGAATTTAATATAAATGTATTAATAAATTTAGTATAAATAATTAATAATTTTTATTAAGAAACATGTATAATTAGTAGTATAATTGATAATATCATTATATATATAATTATGTACATATATATATATTAAATAATTACCCCCGCCCCATTCCTAAACGGGGGGAAAAATTCCCCCTGCCCCAACCCCCTCCCCAACCCCCCGCGGGGCGGCTGCATGCCCCCATTGCCATCCCTAAACCTAACAAACATAAAGGAGCAATCAATAAAACTAAAAATTTAGTTTATAAATCCTGTACTCTTTTGGAAAAATAAAATCATACGCCGTTTGGTTGCTAAGTTTTTATTTTGCATATACAAAATGATAGAAGTGGTTCGGAATGTGCATCGGGAAAATATTCTAAAAGAATATTCTACCAATTTTTGCAAATTTGATTTTGTGCACGCCCTCAAAATAAAAATCAGATTTTGCATGTTGTTCCAAAAGTGAAAATGAAAAGAAACACAATTATTACCTGATAGGGCAACCATTTCCCTCGGAGTAAAACCCTTGTTTGAAAATAGGGTAATAAGTCTATCAAGCTGGTGAAAAGGAGCAGGAAGATCACTGTCTGCTAGGGAACGACTGGCAGTGGTAGAATCTCTTCTTCCAAGCTTTACAGTCCACGAAGGACCACCCACCTGATATTTTGTCAATCGTAAGTATTAAGGGTGAAGGAAATGATGAACCACAATCTAATGTTTATTTTTTTTCATAGTGTAATTATCCAATAATCTCATCTCATTTATCTTGTTCTACTTTCTATTGTCAAAGTTCCCATAAATTATGTTTTTTAAGTTGGAGAAAAACTGAAGGGTGTTCTGGTTTACTTATTTTACATGATCTTACATTCTGATTTTTAAATCCAGTTTTTTTTTAATGTTCTCAGTTGTTTTTTTTTTTTTGCCTAAATTTTAGATTTTTTAAGAGGGAAAAAGCTACAATTTGCATTCTACCAAAAAGTAGATTTTACCATTTCGGATTAGTTAATTGTTTGCAAAATCTGCAAACGATGGAGAACAACTGCTCATTAGCTTTTATAGGAAAACCATTATAGCTTTAGTTTCACTACGAATTTTCCTGCCTTTATTTGTGCTTCTCCATGTAAAATCTTTGAGAATAAATAATTTTTCATAATGCACAGAAATCTCCATATACTGCTAAAGATTAAAGTGAATAATCCACTCTTATGCATGTTATTTTGGTTTCCCTTTGTGTTCTAAGACTTCAAAAAAATGGTTAAATACTTAAATTTTTACTTACAGCAGCGGATGAATCTCTTGCAGCAACTGCAAGAATATCTGCACAAGAAACAACTCCTGGACATATTTTCTCCACTGCGGTCTTAGCATCCTCTATAACATTGAAACCTCTTGCAGAATCATTATTCGCCTTTGATGTCTTCTCACTTTGAATTGTAGGGGTCTCATCAAGCAAAACTGATCCATCACAACCCTGTAAAAGGGCAGAACCAATTTTGATTAAGCACACACAACCAGAGCTAGCAATGATTAACTATAAGGATTAGATCTAGTTATCCTTTAATATAATTTGAATTTGAGTAGACCAATTTTGTTTTTGCATTCTTCATAATGGTTTTATTCTGCCTTAGACCTGGTCAAGTATACAATACTTATTGTGCAGTATGCACCATGTGTAAGAGGGCTTCCACCTTTCTGAACAGTTAAAAGACGTACCCATGCCCATGTAAACATTGGCGGCCACCGAAAACAGTACAAGTTGAATAGTGGAGTATACAAGCTTTAGAAGGTTTTGGGTGCAAATCAGTAACAACAAAATAGACTTGTTTCAAATTTTGAGAGGTGAGAAAACAAAAATTATTGTATTTATCATTATTCAAGCGTGCCCATCATGTGTTAATAAGAAATGCTGGCATTCGGGCCCGTCCTAAAAAATTCGACCCAAAGGAAAGAGAACTTTAAAGTGCCTGGGCGGATCTGAATTCCAACAGTGCCCTATGAGTAGCTAGGCAGCATTATGAAGCGTACAAGTTGAAATGGACTTACAAAGTTAGATAAAGGATGAAATTTATTTTTAGTGCATGAAATGTATTGCTTGCACTAACAAATCCCAAACCTAAACTCACCAAGCAAGTTAAGTTGATGTATGAGTAAACTGTACTACATGAAATGTTGTGTAACTTAAATCATTTTTTTGAGAAATAACCGTGTAAACTAACCTGCACGAAGCAATCATGGAAATGGAGGCGAATCAACGACGCGGCCATCCTCCGTTCACACGATATCGCTGACCGGATAGTGGAACGGATTGTAGTGAGAGCATTCGGGCAAGTATAATCATAAAATGTAGGTGAAAGTTGTGCTTTACAACCAAAGCTCGAAAGAAGAAGCAGTAGAGATAGTGCAGAAATTGCACCAAAAAGTTTGTTCACAGCCATCACCAGTTTCAAGAATCTTGAAGAAAATTACACCTTGCAAAATTTTTAAGAGAAGAGGAAAAAGTGTTTTTCTTTTTTTCTTTTCCAAGTATGGATGATTCATAGAGCTTAGAGAGTCACTCAATTTATATAGTTGCATTATGGCACTGTGTAGTGTGGAAATGTAACGCATTGATACATCACAGCGTAACATGTAAGAAGCTGACTTGTTCTTTTTGGTTTTGAAGATTCTTCAACGCAAGGCTTCTGACTTTTCAACGCACGGCTTTATATAGGACCAATTCTCTTATTGTATCATAGATGGATTGATAGATTAATTTGAAATCAACTGTAAGAAACGAAGTAGGTATTGCTAAGATTTCCATGTAACGCATCAATATATCACAGCGTAACGACTATGTATGTTTGTGAATGTCGTTTTAGTAGTTGGAATCAATTTTTTTGGTACGCACACGGCATTGAAGTGTATAGATAATTCTTGATTTTACAAGTCACACAATCATTAAAGTTCCACAAGTATGCTTTTCAATTTAAAGAGATTCTGAAGTCTTAGAATAGAAATGGGTGAGAGAATTATAAGCTCTGTTTGAATCAGAAATTTATGCAAAATTTTCTCAGGAAATATAATCAACTTTTTTTTGGTCATCATTCCTAATTAGATGCATTACATTTCAAATAGTATTATTCTTCTATTTTCATAAATTTACTTTCAAAAACACCTTCCAAACGGAGTCATAATTTCAGGATAAAACATTTAAAAGCAAAAACATTGCGCACTAAAATTAAAGAAAGAATTGTTGTTGTTGTTGCTGCTGCTGCTGCTATTACTATTGTTATTATTATTATTATTATTATTATTATTATTATTAATTGCTGTACAAACTATTTCAAAGACAGAAACGTAGGCATGTGTCATTAAAAGCTTTGATAACTTGGCTCCAGTTAATTTAAGTAACTAGATGTTATTCTTGATTGTACTCAATGCCAGTTCAAGAAATGTTGGTTCTGCAAGTCTTATAAAAATTAAGCTTCGACAACCATGTTGCACAGTTTAAATAGATTTTTAAGGCTCGCAGAATAAATGGGTGACCGACTTGAGCATGGTTGGATTATAATCATTTAGATAGAGACTCGTACCAAATCCTACATAGGATGACTTTGTCAAAAAAAAAAAAAGAAGAAGAAGAAGATTATAACTTATATCTTTGAGAAATTAAATCCAAACACTATTTAAGTATATTGAGGCTGGATTTGATTTGATTAAGATTCGATCCATTCATATACCTACATGCACGCATGCTAACCACGCAGCAGGCTGTCAGAGTAGTGAAATTCAAGTCAAAGAATTGCCAAAACAATTGACATTAACATGAATTGGGAGCAATTCCTAGGTTCTGATAAAACGTTCAAATTCATGTTGCGAAGAAATTCCTAGGTTCTGATGAGACGTTCAACTTCAACCAAAATACCACCAAATAATGGTCTAACTTAATTTCCTGTTTATCCAATTAGCCTTTTACAAGCAAATTCTATTCTTAAATTTCTCTGGCGGCCTGTGTGCTAAAAATTTAATAAATTTCAAAACGGAAGTGTTAATGAAAGTCCACTATTTTGTTAATATCACTCTTGATATTTTGATCATGTGAATTACACCCAAAAAAAAATCGTTCATTGAATTTACATGTTGCACCCTTTTTTTTTTGGAAAAAATTGTAATTAAAATGAAAAGCAGAAGCATTTTATTCGTTCAACATGAGCAAATGACAACATTAACAAATAGGAAAGCGGTATCAACATTTCGCTTTTTATGATCTCAATATTACTTTGAACAACTTCTCGAACTAGCGGTCATTCGAGCACGATGTTCTTGACATCCTTCTATATGCCATCATCCATATTTAGGTTTTCATATCAATTGCTACCTTCCCTACTAACATCATTACACCATTCATAAAAATCACAAGATTTTTGTCACCAAGAGAATGGAGTATCCTTCAATTGGCACCATTTGCGTGTGTTTAAGTGGGTAAATGTGCCAAGGGTTCAAGAATGGAGAGACTTGAGGAGAATAGGTGTCTTTCGGTTGTAGGGCTTTTAGATAGTATTAAAATCACTTTAACCAACAAAAGTGTGCAATAATTTTACTTTTTCCCATTGAATCCAAACAATTGGCACCTTGACCATCAATGTATTTTAAACAGTAAAGGACAACAGTTAGGTCCTAAGAATGATTGAAAGTTAATTACTTAATCAAAACTTGCTTCTAATACGAACTCAAGTCATGTACATCGAGTTTACTGTTTTGCTTTAGATGGAAATCTAGGAAAAAATTGAATTCAGATAACAAATTGGAAATTATGCAAAAGATTAAATGGCATAGAAGTTTGTTCTCTTTTTCCACCTCTCTTGCCATTTTAATCACACGGTTGTATCAGTAATTAAGACGAGATCTCAAAATCGGTAATTAAGACTATTTCAGGTGCATACTCTACATCACATACCAAATTGAAAATATTGATTCAAGACCTAACCATTGTGGAAATTTTCCTACTTTTTGTGTTTTCTTTTTCTGGATTTTGCCCTTTACCTACTCAGGTAGAAGTTTTCTTTCTTCTTTTTTCTTTGAAAAGGTCAACGTGGACTTTTTTGTTTCTGTTTCTGTGTTTTGTTCTGGAGAAAGTCATCATAGAATTTTTCAGCATTTGACGGCTACAGAAGTGTAAGATAAACAAAATTAAGTATGCAAGGTCTAACGTAAACCGTCGAAAGCATTCACTCAATCAGCTTTAGCTATTATTGAACTATTCTATTTCTTTGCAGAAATTGGCAAGTTTTTTTGGCCTAATACTTTAAATTGGCATGATCAATCCATTTCATTTTTGACAAACCATTGACCACACGTAGCCCTTGAACCACTTTGGCCTATTACTTTTCTAATTTTATTAAAAAGTTGATATAGTGTAGGGTTTTAAAAACATATTTTGGTGAATATTTCTTTAATTGTAAAACGGTTATCAGAAGATTTATTTAGTCTCCAAGCTTTTAGTTTATTTTAATTTTTAATACTTTCATTTTCAATTGATTTTGGTCCTTAAACTTTTGTCCATGGTTCAAATTACAAGTCCTTTTCGTGGAACTCCTATTCTAATATAGTGTAATAATTTTGTGAGAAGTTATTCAATGAAGTTCATTAAGTATTTTGCAATTATCATATAGTGAATTGTTTTAGTAAAAAAGCTCAAGTTTCCTGAAGGAATGTAAATAGCTGTACCAGGATCAATTCTGCTTGGTTAACCTCTTTTATTTGCCAGGAAAGTTTAAGCATTAAATTGAGCAGAGAATCTGATTTTTAAGGGATAAAAGAAGGAAATCAAATGTTGAAGAATAGACAACTTTTTAGGTCGTTTACCCGGTTGTATTGAGGAAACATTTTTTTTTTTTAACTGAGGAAACATCATTCGTGAAAAAGATTTATTTGAAGATGACTATCATTCAAAATGTTTTAATATTTTAGGAGATGATATGATAGTTATACAATAAAAGTGCTAATGGTTATAATTTTTTGATCCAGCAGAACAGAAAATTACAATAATTTTTCAAATACAAGGCTGGGTTGAATTTTAGTTTTAAATGGCGCAGCTTGGTTGCTTCATGTGGCAGTTCAATTTTGGGATTAATTTTGTACTTTACATTGTCTGCCGTGAAGATTTGTTTATCTCAACCACGATTCAGTTTTGTAGAACCAAAAAATATGGGGAGAATATATTTGACAAAACCAATATGAGGGGAGACAATTTACACACATAAAAATATGTGTGGGAGAAAAGGAATAATATCACTAATAATTTATTAATTACATCATAAGAACAAGGCTCTCAAAAGTTTCACTTTTCGCAACTAAATACAATAATATGACTCTCTATTTATAGACTAAATTACTTGATAAACAAGTCTTACACTACAAGAAATTTTCTAATAAGATAATAATTCCTAAATAGTAAAACTACCATAATTTAACTCCAATAAAATTACTAAAACTCTAACTTAACGAAAACACTACTAAATAATAATATGAAAATTTCTAATTTTGAGCTTTGATTTAATATGCCAACAAATTTAATTATTACATGAGAATGAAGATTAGTGTGCCAAAATCACAACCTTTGAGGATTAAATTTATTTTAACCGAAATATTAGAGATCAATTTGGCACATAAACCAAATATTGAAAACCAAATTACATTTTTCCATAAAAAATCTCTACATTAACACCACGAGGAGGCCTCTTTAAATGCAGAAATTGATTAGCAGGGGAAGTTATTATTCATCTGTCGTGGCCCTTAAACTATTGGGAAACAGATGAAATAAATACAAAAATAAATATGAGACTAAATTGTTGCTTGGGCAAGAATTTGGCCAAAGAAGACAGAAGAAAATACGTAATTTAGAAAAAAAAACTTAGTGTGAAATTCCTAACTTGGATAAAGTTTTTCACACTCATTTTTTTTAGGTAATTTCAAACTGAGTTGGTGAAAGCATTTTGGATAAATATTTTTTGACTTGTGGGTTTACGCATTCTCGGATTGATTGACATGATGGATTCGACGTTAATTGAAAGAAACGTACAAATGTGTTTCAACATCTTGATTACGGGTGAATACGACAGATATCAGTTTTTTGTACGGTATATGATATCACTTTGCCATTTCATCAACGGTTTAACTAACATGGTGTCCACATGGATACCTGTTAAGAGGAGTTTTAGTTGTTAATTGTTAAAAAAATGTATAATTAACTGAATAAGTATTTAAATATAAGAGTACAACATTCAATTTTTTTTGTCAGCAGGAGTACAATATTTTAAGGATTAGGTGGAAAGGAGAAGACGTGGTTGCTCTTTCTAGATATTACTGTCGTCACAATCATCTCTGTGGAGCATAATTTTTGTTTTCTATAAGGACCAAAGACTTCTACGATTTGCTTCCCACTCTACGTGTTTAG